AGAAGGACGGATTAGGAGAGATGACAAAGGGTTGAGGTGAATGAAGGATAACAACCAAGAGGAGAGAATGTTTCCGAGGTTAAGTGGAGGTATTTTTCCACCAATGCCCCCACAACCCTGCGAGCCTGTGTTCTGTTTATGGATATAACACATGTAGTAATCTGCTTATGAAAACATTGGAACTTTGTAACAAAGAACAGAAAAAATCAGCAGAATGTGACGTCAGCTTCACTTGATAAATAATTAATCTGCAGTGGATAAGACATTCTGAAGGGTGAAGGAAGCAATGATGTTCACATTCTTTCATTCATTCTAACCCAACAACAACAATGATCAGGGCCAACCCTTCAATTGAAGACGTATTGTCAGACTAAAAGCCTGGTTGACTTTGTTATGCTAGTCACAGATCTCCCTTGTTTTCCATAAACAGTTAGAATCACACCAGCATGGTATAGTATTGCCCTGGGTGACGTTATCCTCCATCACAATGATCATGGTCAGTTAAATTTATGTCACCTCAGCTCCATAGATGCTGCCCTGGAAATATAAATTCTGGCTGCTGGTTTAAATGTGGGTGTAGGGGAGATAAGGGAGCCAAATTGGGGTGAGCATGGGGTAGAAGTGATGGATCAGTGAAATTCATATTACCAAAGCAAAATGCAACATAGAGCAATTGCATATTGCAGATAAAAAAAGTGATAAAAACTGTGAATTAAGGGAAAATAAAATTTGTCCTTGTAGATGAGCTGTTCTGATATACTGTACAACTGTAGGACTGTTCTATTTCTTTTTTTACAGCAAAATGATTTTTGAATCTGCACCGTTTTCAATTTTCTCTTTCTAGCAGTGTATCTTATCATACATATATCATAATATAGTGACACATACTATACATTTACATCATATCATGTTTTTTCCTTTAAACTAATGAACTCCCTCCCCAAATCCCAGTCCACTAAAAATATATGCAATCTCTGCTTTTATCCAGTACTTCGGTACCAGTACTTCGGAGCATTCTGCTGTTACAGCTCGTTGATCCTGGATTAATCAATCCCGTCTGGTTTGACACCAAGAACTTTTATCAGGGACCCTGACCTTGGTGAGGGAAATATACTAACTTGACAGACTGTTGGTTGATGACTGAACTTTCTCACCAAAACTAATGTAAAATATGCATCTGACCATAGTTTAATTAAAATCATGATTGATATTTGTTCAGGTGAAAGGAAGCAGTGAAGCAGGATTTAGTGGCGTAAGTGTTAAAGAGTTGGGTTTTTATATTCATTTTTCCTAACTAATATTTGAACTGAATACACAGCTGTAATTTTTATCTCAAAGTTTGAAGTGTTGTGGATTATTTTGATTAATCAGACTCTTTGATAGAAAGAGGACAGAAGCCTTTCTACGGTCAGCCAACCCAAACATCAAAAAATGCTTTCACAGAGTGGAGCATCAACATCGATTTATTTTAACTGTAGTTCTGTAGCTTGTTTCGACAAGTTAAAGTAAGTGGAGAAGGACCAATACTCCATACACCCAGCCTATTTTGATGCTTAATAAAAGTTTGTTTTTTTTGATTGATTTGATTTGAATTTTTTTCTTTTTTCGTATAAGATCACACTTTGTTTTACTTGCCTTTTTCACGCCTGCTGATAACATAGAAGCTAATAGCGAAAGCAAACTTTAGTTTTCCAAACCTATTCTGTTTGCAGCTAAACACACTCTGGGGTTTACTTTACTGCAAGGTATAATGGCGCTACAGTGAGTTTGCCATTCCAAACTGGAATTATCTCATATAAAACATTGTCAGTTGTCATTCTTTTATGATTCTTTTCCTTCTTTTCAAACCAATAGCCTCCCACTTAGTGCTACATTTCAAATCTAATGTCCAGAAATCGATTAGCATTTAATGTGATGTTTAAAGATATTCCACCGTTTTCAAAGGTGGGATGGAAACAGACAAGGAATTTTCTCACGCACTTTCAGGTATTTGTCACGATATGACAGGTATGGCAGAAAAATGTGGAGCTTAAATCAAAAGATGAAGCCTTGACAGCAGCTGAGGTGCATGTCCTTGCCAGCAGCAGCAGAAAATATGTTTAGGCCTTTGTGTGTGTGAGTGTGTATGTCCAAGACGGAGACGGACAGGTGGACATACCGTGGTGAGGCAGAGGCTCAGGCATTGCCATTTGATCAGACTATGTAAATGACTTAGGGGTCCAAAAAGTATTTTCTATGAATATTTCAAAAATTACCGAAAAGTCCCCAAAAAGCCTTAAAATGAAAGATTACGTCCTAAAACATGCTGCCAAGTGACTATTTTGTGTCTAAAAGTCCAAAAAGTATTTTATATGAATATTTAAAAAAACACCGAAAAGTCCCTGAAATGCACTAAAATGCAAGATTATGTCCCAAAACATCTGTAATTTCATCAACATGCCCTGGAGAACCAATCCTTAAAGAAACAAGGCGACAGGTTTGTCATTATGTACGGAGAGTTTTTGGTCGACAAGTGACTCACAGACTTTGCGAGACACTGCGACTAAATATAGACAGACAGTAACGCACAGAAAGGAAAAGCATTCAGTGCATCTGTGAACACAAACACGTCATACGTAATCACCAATGTGTCCACTGCCTCCATTTACACCCACCCACACACGCAAAAAAGCTGACATACATGGACAGCCTTAGAACATGCATTTGGCAATCCACGCAGTTTCCAGAGTATGATTGACCAGTCAGCCTCAGAGACTGCCTTGATCACATGAATGAACACATAAGTGTCCTATGGTATCACACAAATCAAGACATGGACAGCCCAATCTGCAGTGAGACACACACCTCATACAAGGCTAAATGAAAACACCCACACCCACACACACTAGCACCCTTGCTCGGCTGTGATGTCAGAGGTAAACGGTGTGGAGGTTTAGACCGAAGGGCAGATCCCGCTCTATTTGTCTCAATCTCTGGATAATGAGAGACAAGGGCAAACGCACATGTACACACACACATGCATGATAGCCACACTGTTCTGCACACTGATTTTGCCCTTACAGTCATTTGCATATCATTGTGTTATTTATTTATTTATTTATTTTGTTGAGGGACACTTTTACAGGCTATAGGTTGTAGTCAACGAAGTGTAAGAAAAACATGCTGCCCTCATCTGTCTATATTGTGTAAAAGCTTGACACCTCACATGTGATCTGGGCTAGCATTGACTTCAGATTTATGGGAGTTATAAATTCAGGAGTGTGTACTTTAATGAGTTGTCTGCTGGTAAAATAACAAGTTTGTGGGCTTGAATAAATTGATGCGTATACAAATGCAATGTGTCTTTACAAAAAAAAAAGAAAAACACTGTCAAATGTCACAAGTAAAAGAAGCAGGGGTTGCCAATGAATTTAAATGTGCCAGTGTCAGAGCGCCAGTATTGCTCATCCCGGCCACCTGCTTGGTGTGTTGGCACAACTAAATGGAAAGAAGCCACGTGTCACCTGTGCTTTCCCTGCTGTTATGGCTTATGAAGGTCTGGAACTGTGAGCTTCTGTTGCCTCACAGCCATTTAAGTTCCATGGTCAGCAATCATGAGCTACAAATACTTTCCCATTATAACTTTACAAACTGTAAAAAAAAAAAAAAAAAAAAAAGAGAGAGAGAGAGGGGGGGGGGGGGGAAAAGCCACCCTTAATCTCTGTCGAGTGTTAAAAAATCAAATTTGAGAATCCTACAAATACTGACTAGAAACCCACACACATTCAGATAAATAATGCATGATGCTCTGTGCTGAGAAAACCCTGACATTTATAGTACATTCAGTAAATAAGAGGCAGCTGTTAGTCATTTGGTGCTCTGGTCTCTTCTAGTCTCTGTACACAGAGATTGTGGGGGTTTTAGCATTGAAGGCCTCCTGCTGAGCTATGATGGTGGGGAATAATTAAATATGATCCTGCCGGTTGAGTCAACGTTTCTATTTTGGCTGACATGCTTAATCGGAGCTGTCTTTGCTCAATATTTATTAGTGCAGATGCATGGATGAATCACCTTTTCACCACTGACAGCAGTCATCAATACAGAGCACCCATTAGCACAGATACAGTCCTTTGACAGAACAGTATCTGAGACTTGGCCATTATCATGATGGTAAATAGAAGCGGGTGAAATTATATTGCCTCCTCACACCATGCTGAATGTGATCAAGGAGAGAGGCTTTCTGCTTTACTGGGATCACTGATGAACAACACACTTCTCTGCATCCTAGTTCCAATGTCACTCACTGTGCCTTTAAGTAACGCCAAAGTGTGTATTCAGCCACTTGTTCATCGACTACGGTTTTTTGGTTGTTAGAACAGGAGATGAACAGGATTCTTTGTGAAAGGGATGACTGATGTGACAATTGCATAACATACAAAATAATCCTTATTTTAGAACATAACAAAAAACCCTGTAAAGATCTTGCTTTACTGTTATATCTAATTGGTGTGCACTAACTTGA